GAAAAACACGGTAGCTTAATGTAGTAGATAGTGTTTTGAACAAAATAAAACACGGAGTGCGAGAGCAGTACAGGTGTTGTAGCCTGGGAGATCAGAGGCGTGTGAGCTCCAAGCCTGCGGTGCTTCTCTGGAGCCCAGCCCTCTGCCCAAGCTCTTAGGAAGATGGAGAGGGAAGAGAGATGGAACCCATTGTAGTGCCTAGCTCCCCGCCCTCCACACTCCTTTCTTGATCTGCCTAGAGTCTGGACTGGGACCAACAATGGTCCTTCATTCTTGGTTTTGTGCTCCCTTTATTTTCCAGGTACTGCCACGTGAGAGTACCTGAGGGACTCCTGAAAGACCTGTTACCAGGACCAGTGACCCTGGTGATGGAACGCTCAGAGGAGCTCAATAAGGACCTGAACCCCTTCACTCATGTGAGTCAGAATTTTCTCTTGTGTCTCCAGACTCCTGCCATTTGGCTTCCACTAGGATCCAGTCCAGACCCTTTCCCCCTACCCCTTCCAATCTTTCTGATGATCCCCCTTTTCCCTTGCCTCGTAGCTTGTAGGCATCCGCATACCTGACCACACCTTCATGCAGGACTTGGCCCAGATGTTTGGGGGACCGCTTGCTCTCACCAGCGCCAACCTCAGCTCCCAGGCCAGTTCTTTGAATGTTGAGGTAGGAGTGACCCAGTCCTTCCCCCAGAAATGTCACCAGGCCAAACACATGTTTCCTCTGAACCACTAGGATTGATGATTCGCTGGAATTGCCTGGCAGGAGCGTCTAATTGTAGGAAGTCTGTCCAGTTAGCAGTAGACAGGGTGGGGGGAATCCAAGTTAAAGAACCTTGGGTTTTATTACAGAGTTAGAGAGTTGAGGGGAGAATTGGTGTTTTCTTCCTATCTTTTTAATAATAAGAAACATTATGATCAGTATAATTATTTTCTCTCTTTTTGTGGGGGTAGCAGTTGTTGGAGAATGCAGTTAGGCAATAAGCCTACAATAGTGCTATAAAGAAAGTTAAAGCTCCGAAAACTTAAATCACTTGACCTAGGGATTCCTGACCCTCTCTTATTACCTCCGCCATAAGCCAGGTCAAAGAAAGGATCATGCTAATCCTGTTTTAGCTCCATAGCTTAGAACAAATGAGGACACACAGAAATTTTAACATCACACTGTTTTCTTCTTATTGAACTTAAAGTTAGAACATAATAGTGATGAGGTTTTCCATGCCTAGACCGAGAAAGTGAGTTCAGGAGTCTTGGAAAGTGAGAGCTCAGCATCCCTTATTCTCAGGCTGCAGGCTTTTACTTGGTCCTGGTGGCCATACTCAAAGCAGTGGGGAAGGGGATGGGGGAGGTATTCTTACCTTTTCAGCAAGCAGTTGACCTATCCAACACAGTGACTGGTATTCATGATCCCCCATCCCAAATTTTCAGGCCTAACTGCCACTGCAGTGTCTTCATAAGGGATAGGGGTGGGGGAGTGGGCAGTGCACCAGCTCAGAATGGAGACCCCTTCCCATAGCCCAAGGATTGAGTGTTAGTGGCACTTGCAGAGTCCACCCTGTTTTCCTCTCCCTACCCTGACCCAGAGTTCCACTGAAATCCAGGATAAGAGTGCTAGAGTTAGAAGGATCCATAGAGACCATCTATTCCAGCTCCCTTATTTTATAGCTCTAGATAAAGTAACTTGAATGTGGTCACACAGAGATTTGGTGGGAAGTTCAGGGTAGAGCCCACATCTTTGGACTCCTACCTAGGTCTCCAGTCATTGTACTTGAACCTCCCCAACAGAAGCGATGTGTGGAAATTCCTCTTGGCACAGTAAAATATTCTTTAAGCTCTAGACAGGTGTGTGTGGGTGGGGCGCCTCCAAACCTCATAGGATGTAGTGCCCTAGGTCGTAATGCAGTGTTCTTAGCACAGCTGACCTTAACTAAATGAGATTCCTTCCCCTGCATAGGGGAAGATGCCTAATGTTTTCAAACTGTGCAGCCTTTGTCTTACTTAGGAACCTTGCCTGTAGCATGACATCATTGCATATGCGAGGGGTAGTGTCCATGCTCTTCCTCTCCCTCTTCTTAGGAGTTCCAGGACCTCTGGCCTCAGTTGTCCCTGGTCATTGATGGGGGACCAATTGGGAATGGCCAGAGCCCTGAGTGTCGCCTAGGCTCAACTGTGATCGACTTGTCTGTGCCTGGAAAGTTTGACATCATTCGTCCAGGCTGGTGAGTCTCTTTCCCTTGGCATGGGGATAGAATTTGAGGGAGGATGGGAGATGCAAAAAAGGCCTTGAGAAAATAAAGGTGGTCACATTCTCTTGCCCTGATGGGGATGAGCAGGTTTGGAGAACTGGTGGATGGAGTGGGACTAAGTTTGCTGTTTTTTTCAGGAATCAAAAGGATTCATCAAGGGTTTGGTGAACAGAGCATAGTAAGACCAGAGTTTAGAGGTCCCTGATTACCAGACTCTGGTGGGCTCTGGGCTTTGAGAAGTCAGACTCTTAATTGTCCTCCATTTCCTCCTCAGTGCCCTGGAAAGGACTACGACTGTCCTCCAACAGAAGTATGGGCTGCTCCCCTCACATGGATCCTGCTTGTGAAACTCAGGAGGGAGGGCCCTGGGACTGGGATTGGATACTGTGTGTCCGTCCACTGGTGGCTGGCAAGGCCTCGTTTGCAGAGGCCACTGGGGCTACATCACTAGTCTGACCCTTTAAGGCAGTGTGTCTGAACACTATACCAGGCCCCAGGTGCTGCTGGTTTGGCCTCATACCTTGGGGTGAGGGTATATTAATATTCTGTAATTTCAAATACCAGCCAAAAGCTGAATAGAGACTAAGAACATTCCTAGGATGTTCTTATTCTGATAAGTTTCTTCTCTCTTTTTTATTTTTATTTTTGAAAAATAATTTAAATAATAGATTTGGAATCCAGTGAGGGCCTCCTCTCTGGTAGTGGTGGCATTTAAGGTCCAAATGAGCTAGCTAGAGTACCAGCTGATGCTGTTTAAAAGTCTCAAGTGACCAAAAGCATGAGTTTGTGAACCAGGTTAGGATAAAGATTGTAGAGCCACAGGCCAAACACTGTTACTTCTGAACAGGCTGGTGGTGTGGCATGCTGTAATTGCCTGGCAGAGTCATTGTTTTGATCTAATGGTAGGAAGTCAGCTTGCTTGGCAGGGGGTAGAGGTGGAGGGGTCCAAATTAAACAATATTGGAAAATCTCTACTATCCCTTTCAACCAGTGACTTTTCTTATTCATAAAGTAAATTATACCTAAAATACCTTTATTTAAATCCAGTGTCTACTCAGCAGCCTTTATCTATTCATATGTATATTAAGTGTTAAAAATTATTGTTGGGCATTTGAACTTTTTCTTTAATAGAAAATAATGCTGCTATTAAACAACATCTTTGTTAAATGGTTTATTTTTCTTCTTTGAAATATTTCCTTAGGGTAGGATTGCTAGGTCAAAGTGTATGAACATTTTTATGGCTCTTGATACAGATTAGCCTTCAAAAGAACTAAATCAGGTTGCAGTGTCATCAGCAACTGCTGCCTCTGTCTGCTAGGGCATTGTCATACTTGTAGGATTTTTCAAATTGTTTATGTGTGAAATGAGGCCTGTGTTACTCCCTTCTGTGAATTATTACAGGTCACCATCTAGCCCTTTTCACCTATTTCTGCCTGCCTTGATTTCCCCACGAAGTCACAAGCAGGGTGATCCAGGCCTACCCCATCCATCAGTGGGGTTTATTATCAATTACCTAACTGCAGCTGAGAGTCCTTGTGGTACCAAATAAGGCCCAGTACTTCCCCTCCATCCTTGCACCCCAGTTCCCAGAATTAGGATTTAGTCTTGCTATCATAAACTCAGTGGTTTCCAGCACACATTTTCAAGTACATCTTAAGAATCTTGCCAAGAAGTTGTCCCAGGGCCTGCTTTGAAGGTCTCTGTAATTAGCATGTTTTTTTGTAAAGAAGCAGTGGTTAAGTCATTCCTTCAAAATCTTGTTTAAACTACTAGTTTCTTAAGCAAACTCACTCTTCATTGTGCTAACACTGTAGCCATCCCACAAGTCAATTTGTCAGAATCTGAGGGGTCAGGGTCAGAATTTGTGAAGTTTTGAAGAGCAAAAGGAAGGCTTACTTGAGAATACCATGTCATATTTAATACAAATCACAGCAGCACTGCAATTGGCTCTAGTGAATGGGCCTCGAATCATTCAATTTAGGCAGCTAAAGGGAGAGGGATGTCCCGGTCCTCTCCCTGGAGCTAAAGGTTCACCTGGGAAAATGGAGGCTCTGGACCACAGAGGTATTTTCTTAGAGGAAACAACTGAATTCCCAGCACTGCGTAAAAGTGCAGGAAGGAAAACCCTATAGCTGTGCTCAGGCACTAGCCACACGGCCACACCAAATAAATGAAGCTGGGTCCTATAAATGGCAGGAAGACAGGAGCCATTCCTGGTTGTTTGCACCCAGCACGTGGTAAGGTGCTGTAGTCTGCATTGAATACATGTGTGAATGCTCAGGATTACTTCCTGAAAACTGGGTTCAGGAATCTGGGAAGAGCTTAAACATAGCATTTCCCTTGTAAAAAGTCTTAAATATGGTTCCCTAACTTGGAGAAGACACATGACGGAGGAAGGAGGCCTGAATAGGGGATACAGGCTGGCAGAAGGGAGCAAGGTGCATGCTATAGCCCAGAACCCTTGACACCCTTCTAAGAGCAGTGATTTGGTGACTCCACTACATCACACCAGCCTGCTGATTTCAAAGCTAGAAGGGATTATTTTAGTGTTCTGACTGAGGATATGGGGCTGCTCTGGGCTAATGCCAGACACCTGGCCGCCTCTACCGTTCCCTCTCTTGAACACGGCCTGGTTTCCTGTTACTTGAGAGCACCCCAGCACCACTTGCCTGAGAAACAGGCTCTGTTCTACATGGGCCCAGGCTTGGGCCCACCCGGAAGCACCCAGCTGCGGACTTGGAGATGAGCGAGTGCCTACAATCTCAGCAGAGCCCCACGTGGTGACATCATCCAGTGAGACTCAGACATCAGCACCTCATGCCCGTTTGCAGGCCCCTCACATCAACCACTGCTCTTTCTCTTTGATGAAGTGCTCCGCCCAGCGGCGAGTCAGCTCCAGATACAGGCTGGGCTGATGAGGCAGGTAGTCCAAATACAGACGAGTTTGCGTCTTCTTGGGAATCGCCTTCTCAATCTGGGTACCCTCATGCCATTCATTGAAAGAGGTGATGGAGACGATCTCAGGCCTTACTGTCAGGGCTGCCTGCAGGGCTGTCTCATAGTACTTGCCATTGACCCTGTTCCGTGTATTGTGGTTGTTCCAGGGCCGAATGCTGGTGTCAATGTAGCCAGGCCCCACACTGGGAATGAACATGAGGTTGTTGGCATCACAAAAGTTCTTCACAGCTTTCCAGTTCTGATGGGAGGAGCCGAAGGAGAAACCGTTGGAGGCAAAGTAGGTGTACATGCCATCAAATCCAGCGGCCAGGATGTCATGGGTGTGGCCCTCCTCCACCAGCAGCGCTATGAAGACCCCATCATAGGGGGTGTTGCGGATTGAGTGGGGCCCATTTGGTGTCAGGAGGTGGGCCCAGGCCTCAGGGGATGTCAGGTATGAGTCGTAGATATAAAAGAGTGGGAGGCTCTTACCCATGCTGTTCTTATAGCGGTAAAATGCGCCATGGGAGCCATACCTGAGGAGCGGGAGGAAGAAGAGCCTGAGCTGGCAGCCTAGGATGGGAGAAGCCAGCACAGCTGTGGGACCAGCCATGGATGATAGCTTTCCTGATGCCTGAGTACAACTGCGGATCCAGCTAGTCTCCACAATTGGACCCAACATGCCTCCAAGCAAGACCCTAGTTCCCTTCCCCCTCTCCCTAGACTTGCTATTCCTTTATTCAAGACACTTCCCTGCCCTAGGCCAAGTCACCACCATCTTTTATCTGGATTTCAGCAACAGCCACCTAACTGGTCTCCAGGCTGCCACTTTCCACCTCCCTACAATCCATTCTCTTTTTAAAGTGTAAATCAGATCTGATGTCTTGCCAAGACCTACAAGGCCTCACCTACTTGATCTGGACCTGCCCACCACCTCAATTCCTGCTATTACCTCATCTGTCTACACACTCCACCTATACTGGCCTTTCTAATCTGCTGTCAGGCTTGTCCCATCATATGACCTTTGCATCTGACAGCCCTCTGCCTGGAATTTTCTGCTTGCTCCAGATCTTGGCAGAGCCGACTCTTCATTTACATGTTTGCTCACATGTCATCTCAGAGAGCTCACTTGACCACACCTTCTAAAGTATTTTTCAGACACACTAACACAACACCCTGCTTTATTCTTTATTATTTTTCATAGTGTGGATCATCACTGAATTTTCATGTGTAACTACTGCCTGCTCCACTGCCCTCCCCAATACAAATTAGAATAGAATAAAATTTTGCTAGTCCTACCTGTTACTGTACAACTGGGGCTTAGAGCAGTGTCTAGACACCTAAAGGCATTCAATAAATATTGCTTTAATGAATGAATGACACATGCAAGCACTGTACAAGCCATTTTCACATATATTAACTCCTGTAACTCATACGAGTAAGACTCAAAGGTTAAGAGGCCTGCCTCTGATTATAGATTGGAGGCTGCAGAACCAGAATTCAAACTGAGGTTGCTGACTTACTGTAAAGTAACTGCTGGAGACACAGGTATTCTGCCTGTTGACCTGCCTCTTCAAACCACCTATCCCTACTATTTTGATCCCCACCAAAATCCAGGCCCCAGAGCAGCCTTACATATCAATGATGTACTTGATGTTGTCGTGCAGAGTGATGTCATCCCGTCCTTTGTAGGGCTGGATGTGGAAGGCCACCTGCCACAAAAAGAGGAAATACTGGTCAGGTGAGTATCTCTCCAAGGGTCACAACCTATAAGGCTCATGCTCCAACCATGGCCTGGAAGAGAGGCTGAGTTCAGGAAAGGGCCTAGCAATGGTGGGCACAATAGAGAGAAAAGCAGCCACTGCCCTCAGGGCCAAAAATGGAGGGGCAAGAAGTTTGCCCACTTCCCACAGCTGGGCATCTGGGAATCATTCTTATGGGCTGTTGGCAGGATGGCTAATAGGTTTCAATGTATGTGCCAGCTCCAAGTGATTGGCACTAGCTGCCTGAACCTATGGGAAGAAGTATAGTGAGGCTGTGTCAACGGGAAAATGTGCTAGGATCTGTTCACCGTGATGGTGATGGGCTCAGGGATGGGAGTGGGGCTCCGCTCTGTCGTTTTTCTTCCTTTGCCACAGGATTGACTTGATTGTATATGGGAAAATAACTAGACATGCTTAGCTCAGCTCCGTCACTCCTCTTGAAAGTGAGCCTGTCTGCTGAAACACTCATATGCTCTCCTCCTTGAAACCCAGCACTGCCTCCCACTAAGGAGCTGAGGCTGGAGTTCATTCAGTTTGGGGGCCCATTCGGCCCTTGCCTGTCCTCTTATCTAGGGTCAGGGTCTCGAAGCTAACCTCTATTGTTGTGATATGTAGTCTCCCATTTCCCCTATATTTAGTTTTCCCAACTTTTTTTTTCAGAATTGAAGAAAATAAAGAGTGATGTAGGCATTATTTACTAGAACCCCACTCCCAGCACCACACTTGTCACCTATTTACCATACCTAGGCTAATGCCAAGAACTTTGGTAGAGGCACTCACTATCTCTGTGCGCAGAAGAGGGGAAATCCCCAGAATGGGCCAGAGAACACTTGACCTCTTCTTGAAGACTCACCTGGATGTTGTACTGATGGGCAGTGTCCAGAATGGCGGGCACCAGGTCATCTGAGGGTTCCCCATTATCATCAGCCATACCAGGTGGATACCAGGACAGGACCAGGACGCCTGAGACACAACACAGAAGCTACTTCAGAGACTCAACAGTATCCCCGAAACAGAGATTTGTTTCCTCACAAACCATCTCCAACTGCAGAATGGTTTCTGAATGAAACCTAGAGCAAGGCTCCTGCCAGGTTCACTTTCCTGCAGGTCAGAGTCCAGAGCCTGGTGCACCGGAGCTGTCCACGCCCGTGGTGCTGAAGCGCAGCGGCTCGGGGAACCTTAACACCCCAGGCAGGAAAGGAGCCAGAGCAAAGCCCGGGTGTAAGCTGGTCTTTCGCTGACATTAACAAGTAGCAGAACAAAGAGAAATGGGTGGACAGTGCCACACCCACCTGGAAGCCACAGTCCTCTATGTCTGGAGGAGAAGCGTATCTGAGGTCCTGCAAGGAGAAAAGCCCTGAACAGAAGTCATCTTATTCTTCCTATGGGAAATGGCATTTGTCTAGACTGCCCCTCTAGACTGTAAAATCCTGAGGAACAGACTGTGTTATTTATCTGTGAATACCTCCTTTCATCATCTCTGGCATTCAATTTTTTCTCTCACTAATCGTTTCCAGGTAAATTGAAATGTGCTGTAAAATCTGGCAGAATTCAGGGGCAAAATCTGAAACAAATGAGCCTCCTACGTTAGCCTGCCTACGAAGCAGGCTCCCAGGGACTTCTTTTCAAGCTCCTGGACCCCCTACTGCAAACAGCAGGGTCCATCACGCAATGTGGGCAAACTTGCCTTCCTGCAGCCAGCAAAAGCAGGAAGGGCTGCTTCTCGACCCTGTACCTGGTGTGAAAGCAGAGGCCATCCCAGGCACTACTCTGAATCCCAGGCTCCTGCGGGGCCAGGATATCCAGGCTTCACTTACCCAAACCTAGAAGCCCAATAGACATGAAGACTCGGCCTCCCTCTCCTCACTGTCCCTACCTGGGACAGCTCTGGCGCAGACTCCTTCCACTGACCCTTCCAGCTGCTCCGCCCTTTGAAAAAGGCCCTGAAATTGTGGGGCACCAGAAGGGAAAGGTGGGTGAGTCTGAATACTAGAAAGTGGGGGATGGTGCCTCGTGGTAAGCGCAGAATAAGAGTAGAAGGGAAGGGGTAAGAGGCCAGATTGAAGGGTGAATGGGGCCAAAAGACCCAGTGACTGAACCAGCAGAAGTTAGGGTGAAGGAACGAAGAAGGGTTAGGCTGGGGAATAGGGCCGCCCAGAGGTGGGGGGAACTCACCGATGGCGGCTTCCTTGAGTTGGGTCATGTGCTCCCGCAGCACGTCGGGGTCCCGGGAGCTGTAGGGCCCCAGCTCCGGGTAGAAACTGGAGCCCAAGTCGTCGGGGGGGTTATGGCGGCCGCGGGGGTAGCTGGCCGAGATCTTGGGGTCCCAGTGTGGCACCATGACGTGGTCCCAGTGAATGTAGTGACCCTCGCGCCGCGGGCTCCCGTACCATGAGTAGTAAAAGGCGTGCAGGTCCGAGTAGACACGCAAACTCTGCCCAGGAGCGGGCTCGGCCTCCGCGGGGGCCGGCCCCGGGGGGCTGCCCGGGCCCGCGGTGCGGGGCGGAGGCGGCGGCGGTGGCGCGGCGGGGGCTGCCGGGGCTCCCTCCGGGCGACGCTCAAAGGGCGCCAGCTCCAGGCCTGGACCCAGAGCCGGGAGTCCGTCGGGAGCCTTGAGCGTGCGCAGGCCCATGAGGGTGCCGAAGGCGAACAGCAGCACCAGGAACAGCGCGATGCAAGCGCGGCGCCGCCGCCGGGCCATGGCGGCCCCTGTGCTCCTCGCGTCTCGCCCGGCTACCTCCCGGAGCGCCGCGCCATGGCCGCCCGCCCTGCTCCCGCGGGCCGCGTAGCCCGCGCGCGTCCCAGGGAGACGGCGACGCGGAGCGCCAGGCGCGGCGTGGGCGGCTCCCCGCCTCTCCCCCGCAGTGCGGGCGGGCCCGGCACACAGAGGATGCAGGCGGCGCAGACCAAGTGGTCCTGAGCCGAGGGGGAGTGGACGCAGAGGAGCTACTAAGAGCGGCCGAAATGCGAGCTCCGGGGCCAAAGAGGCAAGGGCCCAAGTCAAACCGCTTGGTCCACGGAGGATTTGTCGCCTTTCAGCCTGGGGCAGCGTCGCGGAGGCGCCGGGTGGGCGAAAGGAATGCCCTTCTTCTGGAGCCCAGGAGAAGGTCCATCCTGGCGGCGGCGCTGGAGGGCGTGGGAGCAGAGGGCCGTGTGGGGGTAAAGCGAGTATCTGTGGTTGTCCCTGTCCAACAATCTTCCCCACTAGTCCCTCTTTACTGACTTCATCGACCCCCTCCCTACTGATCTCAATGACCTCCCTTGTTTGCCCCCATCCCCCATCCCTCGGACCCCCTCTCACGGGGAAAGGGGCGGAGGGGGCGGGGGGCGGAACCCAGGCGTCAGACACCACACACTAGCTAGAACACTGAAGGACGAGGGAGACCGTGGCTTGCGCAAGGTTTCATGGATCTGGGCTAAACCCAAGGGCCAGGACTGGCTCACCATAGCTCTTGTCACTGTCCAGGCTGCCTGGTCTCAGGCCTGTTGTCCTGAGCCCTGTGTCCTTGGACAACCTCCTAGAATCGGTGAGGACTACATGAGAGGGCTCTTTTAAAGCACTTTTTACAGGGCCTGACAAAATAAGCACTCAGTACACATTTGCTGTTCCTTCTGGACTCTGAGCTCCAGAGGTCAGGCCCCAGGACATATTTACCTTTTTAGATGCTGAGGGCTGCCAGAACAGGGTCTACCTCTCAGTTTCCAGGGCTGTTTGTTGAACCAGCCTCTGGTGTGATATTCTATAGACGATGATAAGGTTTTCACTCGACATTGATTTGTTCCTATTCTGCATTATTCATTATTTCATTCATTCAGAAAATAATTTTGTTCATTGTCTGCCTCCTTCACTGGTCCCTGATGACAGCGACTTTGTTTCATCAGCTGCTCTGCCTGCAGTGTCTAAAACAGAGGCTGGCATAGCAGTAGGCACTAGATTCTTATTTCTTAAGTAAGTGAATTGTAGGAAACCCAAGAAGAGGAGGAGCCAGGTTGGGAAATGTGGGTAAGTCTGGAGCCCAGAAAAGTGAGTGCGAAAATTCATGGTAATAAGTGTGAATTAAGTAGAATGCTTTCATCTCCAAGTAGCAGACACCTGATTCAAACTGGCTTGTACAATATGGAACTGTATCATCTCATAATGCAGGAAGGCCAATGGTAGGACAGAATGCATAGATTCCCCGGTTCAACACTGTCATTAGGAACTTGAGATGCTTCCATCTCACTGCTCTGCTGTCCCCACCATTGACTTTATACCAAAACTGGCTCCCCTCACATCACAAAATGACTGCTATGGGCAGTTGAGGCTGCATGCTTCTTTTTCCCATCTGACAGGCAACAGTAAGACTGATTCCTCTTTCCCAAAACTTCTAAGCAAGCATCTCTTTGAATCTCATTGGTCTAATCTGGTTTAGGCCTGTTCATTCCAAGGAGAAGAGGAAAAGAATAAGGCTGGAACTCTCAGGAACCCCAGCATTTATGGGTTGGGCAGAGGAAGGAGAGCAAGTGGAGGAAACTGAGAAAGAATCATTAAAGAGGAAGCAGGAGAATTGGGAGTTGGTGATGGTTTTAGGTAACCAGTGGGAAGCGTTCCCCAGCTCTCAGTGATTTCACTATTTCTGGAAGTGCCACGCAACATAACGGTGGTCCCCACTGGCCATGCCCGGAGTCCTTAACACTACCACCCCACCATAATGGTTCAATCCAGGGCTAAACTCTGACCCAAGATGACCCAATGATAGTGCCTTATTTCCCATTGTACCAATCGTGACAGTGACCCAAGGGTCATCAATTCAAGTCCTCTGAGATTTTTCTGTCTGGTGTTGATAGATTCAGTCTTTCTCTATAAATGTAATGTCATTAGAGGAAAAAGAACAAGGCACAGAGAGGAACTTAGTAGTCCTGGAGTCCCTGATTTCAATTTTCCTTGAGGCCTGGTTTAAGTGTGAAACACTGAAATAATCTAATAAGTTACACTTTTATTCTAAGCAAGATGAGCTCAGGAAGCAGACTTTATTGGTTGCCTGTCAATCTCAAGCAGAGATTGAGAAAGGGACTCGGGAGCAGGGAGGTCATTTAGGAAGTAATCCTAGGAAGCAAGAGTGAGGGATTAAGGAGAATGAGACAAGAAAGAAAGAAAAGCCAAACTAATGGTGCATTATGGAGGTTGCTGCTATAGATAATGGGGCTTTGGTTCCACCAGGATATCTGAGAAGTGTACAAATGCCTTCCAGAATTAAGAGGTGTGAGGCTAAAACAGTTATCTACTGGCTCCTCCCTTCCACTGGTTGAGCATTTTCCACAGGGCTGTTAACTTTTTCTCACTTCCGGTTTCCATTGTGCCAAGTAGGTTCCATGACATCAGAAAGGTCCGGCTGGGCACAGGCACAAAGACAGAAAGACACATTGTATGTTTGAAGTGGGATGCTGTCAGTGAGAGGTAAATCTAGGCTTGCACAGAACTGTCCACCTTAACCGTGCTGTCATAACAAATTACTACACACTTAGCAACTTAAAACAGCACAAACCTGTGGTATCTGACAGTTTCTCTAAGTCAAAAGTCTGGGCACAGTCTGGCTCAGCTGGTTCTCTGCCTAGGGTCTCACAAGACCAAAATCAAAGTGTTGGCAGGACTGTGCTCTTTTGTGGAGGCTTAAGGAATGAATCCACATCCCAGATCACTAGCAGAATTTAGTTCTATGAAATTGTAGGACTGAGGTCCCATTCCTTGCTGGCTTTCAGTCGGGGGTCTTCTCACCTTCTAGAGATGGCCTGAATTTCTTGGCTTATGGCCCCCTTCTTCCATCTTCAAAGCCAGCAATATCAGGTCCAGCCTTTCTCACACTTTGAATCTCTGATTTCCTCTTCTCCCTCATCTCTCCTACCTTCCTCTTCCACTTTTAAGAGCGCCTGTGACATATTAGGCCCAGTTGAATACTTGAGGAGAATTTCCCTATTTTAAGGTCACTTGATTTATAACCTTAATCCCATCTGTAAAGTCCCTTCACAGCAGCAACTAGATTAGTGTGTGAATGAATAAGAGGATGAATCTTGGGAATGGGGACATCTTTAGAGATCTGCCTACCACAGAAGCTGTTGTTGAAACCAAAGTAGGCCAAGAGGGTGTGACACGTGGCCTCAAAGATGTCTGCTACACCCCCTCTATCAGAGTGGGTCCAGCTGCAAATAAGAAGGGAAATAGCTAAATATGGCTTAAAGCAGTGCTTCTCCAACTCTAATGAGCATATCAATCCCTTGGGGGATTTTGTTAAAATGCAGATTCTGATCTGTAGGTCAGAGGTGAGGCCTGAGATTCTACATTTCTAATAAGATCTCAGGTGGTGCTGATTCTGGTAGTGTGAGACCACATTTTAGGACTTAAATGTGGTGGGCTTATTATTCCACATTTTGAGGAGTTTTCAAGTAGGCTGTTTTTAGGGATGGTAAATCCAGTGGTTCAAAGACACTGAGGCATCACATCATGGTGTCTATAGTTTCTTTGGTCTTCCCTTCATGGTTGAAAAAGGATGGAAGCAGTTCCGAGCATCACATTCCCACATGACAATATCCAGATGCAGAAGAGGAAATGTCTGCCTTTTAGAGAGTAAGATGAACTCTTCCAGAAGCTCAGTTGACACCTCATCACTTCTCATTGGCCAGAATTCTGTCATGTGCTCATGCTTAAGCCAATCCTTTGCTGAGGCCATTCAGAGAAGGGTAAATGAAATCGGAAAGAAGGGAGGAAATTGGAGTTGGATAAACAGCCAAGACTGTGTCTCATATCTGCCCAGAGTCTATTCCTTTCTTCTTTTTCTTAAGTTGAGAGAGCCACCCTCCCCCACTGTGGCAGGAGATGTCAGATTCACTCTGTGGAAAAGTGGAATAAGGAGTGTCTCCTGACTCAGGGGCACCAGGCAACAGCAGAAGTAGAGATGAGGTGCCATGTTGAAATCCAGGGGAACAAGTAAAAATATGCATAATGAGTGGTAAGAAGTTAGCCCCGAGAAAGCGTCCTTCCAAGCAGAAGTCTGAACGACTGCTCTCTGGAGAAAAAGAAAGCCCCTTGAGAAAAGTCCTCCACATACTGAAAAGTTAACTCACTGCCTGATCAATCCAGAATGAAATACATGAGTCAGAAAATCTGCCCCTTGAGTTTAAATCTTTCTGTCGGCTTTCTAGTGCCTCACTCTAAACATGAAAAACCAGCCAATGTTTCCCAGACATTTAGTGGAAGCCTCTTACATGAAAGGCAGAGATAAAAATATGCAAGCAAACAGAAAACAAAGAGTGAGCGAGCAAGAGCAAGAGTGATGAGAAAAAAGGAAACAAAAATAAAGTAGCAAGCCAACTAAAACAAGCAAAAGGCAAAAATCCCAGGATGATGGTTGTGCAGGTCCAAAGAGCAGCCTGCCTTGACAGGAGCAGGAAGACACCCCAGGACACGTATTCCAAGAACAACCGAAATTGATAGATACCCTGATATATAACCTCCCTCCCAATTCTCCTCTTACATTGCCCCGATGTGACTGTATTATTATTTTAGGTTAAATCACTAGTGGATACATTGCACTCAATAATATTTTTACTGTTGAGCCAAGTGTGAACTATGATTACACTTCCTTTCTTGTAAAATTTTTGTTTCTCCTGGAGTTAATAATTCCCTTTTGTTTTCTATATTTTTATTAGTTGTTTTTCCTAAACTCTCCAATGCAATGCTAAAACTCTTTTGAATACTGTTTTCTACACAATTCCCATATTATAATAGGATGTCTATCAGTCAGTGAATAAAACGGAGTGGTCAGATGATGATAAGTGTTGTAGAGAAAAGCAAAGCAGGAGTCAGGGAGAGGGAGTGCCAGGGTGGGGAGGCTTTGTAAATTTTAGTAGGTTGGTCAGGAAAGACCTCACTGCAAGGGTGAACTGAGGGGAGAGAGGAAGGAAACGACGCAGACACTTGGAGGAAACGAGTTCCAGGCAAAGGGAAGAGCAAGTTCAAAGTCTTGGAGACAAGAACATGCCTGGTATATTCTTCATGCAGCTACTAGAATTTTCTCTTGCATGTTTTACTGTCACTTCCACAATCCACTTCCGCATCCAAGGGCACCCCAATATCTTAGGCATCCATATTCAAACTTTGGTCACTACTGGTGCACTTTTTTATTCCCAGTATCCAAATGGTGACCAAATCATATTGATACTACCT